TGTGCAAAATGTAATCTTTTGTATAAACTATATCATTGACTGTTCAGACGATTTCATAAGAATCTTTCTCTGAATGTTTTTAATCATCCTAAAACTAATGTTAATGTATGAAAATGATAGCATTCTTAAATAAATGAGGAATAAGTAAAATTTATACGAACAACAAATTTTTCTTTTCAAGAAGAAAAAAGAGATAATGATGAGGAAAATACTTGATAAATTCTCTTCCATAAAATTATTTTCTCATAATTTCGTTTCTATTAATAAAAAAAAAAAAAAAAAAACGAATCTTATTGATTATCTCATATATTCATAATTTAAAAATTATTTTACCGTTTAAATTAACAAGCCAGTTAAATAATTACTTCGATAATGACTTGATTGATTTGCCAATTGAAAATTCCAAGGATGAAGATATTCTTGAACTATTATATAAGCCATTTTGTTTAATACGACTTGATTGCTTGATCTAGGAATAATCCTTTAAGATTTGTACAAATTATATTCTGAACTATGAAAATATTACTTGTACATTTAAAATATATTTAAATAAAAGAAAGAGTCGATCTTTACAAATCTCGTACATGTATCGTAAAAAAATTCAAACGTCAAATTGTGTGTAAGTAGTTTCTGACTTACCATTTAATTTATAAAATTCATTATTTGCGTGTCTGTTACGATATTAATCCTCGTGAGTTCTGATTAACTGGTAATAGAGCGAAATAGACACGCGAAGGCTCCACCAATCGTTCCGCAATATCGTGCCACACCTATGTGCAAAATGCACTGTCAGTTAACGACCATTTCTGTTGATGATCACGTAGCATTTAACGGCGATTCCGACCATAACACGTAGCCACGTGTATAATCCTTGAATATGAGAATATATAGATATTGGTAATTTTCAGGTTAATTTAGTTCCGTTCACTCTTCGCATTGCTTCACGTTCCTCGTGTGTATATCATTCGTTTATAAATAAAAGGGCGGGAAGTTTAATAAGACGGAAGAGAATGTCCGCTTTAAAAATAACACGTGAAGTTAAATTTAATGGATATCCCCTTTCATTCGCATTGATGAAATTTGTAGATTTTTCTTTTTCTTCGTTGTGAGATATAGAATTACTTATCGTGAAAATTGAGAGAATGATTTATTTTGCATTTTTACCATTCAAAATTTCTTCATAAATGACAATTATCTATTTTGAAAATGGTAAGATGCTCATTTCTCTGATTAAGTTAAGAAGTAAAACTGTTGTATATAAAAGAGAAAATTAATTTAATAAATAAAATCTGACCTAATTTAGATATATTAATGATAAGAATAAATTAATAATTTTATATTAACGATAAATAAATATTAAAATTTAGATTATTTCATTTCTTATTCTTGTTTACGATAGAAAAACAATCTAAAACATAAATTGTACAATGAATATACGTTCTAATAAATAAATATCTTGTTAATTCTTTCATTCAAAATATATTCCATGTCTGACGAATTGCATACTCGAACTACTTTCAAATAAAATTTCTTCTCATACCTTTATTTTCATAACAGAATTTAATTACAGTAACGATACGAAAAATAAAACACACTTTCACAAAACAAAATTATATAACCATCGATCTTTCTCATTTCATCGATCGCTCAAGAAATAAAAGAGGAATATCTCTTCGCAACAAGATTCAGCTATCGTCAAATTCAATTCTTCCCGTTTATTACTTTGCTACATAAAAAAGGTTGAAACGTCTTCTTTCCTTTGCTAAACGCTTCAATTATTCCGTGACGTCGAATAAGGAGCGCATCTTGCCGATAAATCGAATTACAACACCGCCCCGCAAATGTGTCATACGTTCAAGTTTAGCAGAATCGTGGTGGTGGTGGTGTTCTCTTTATTCCCGATATTAGACAAGATCCAATTTACCGTGAGTTCGGAAGGTGTGTCAACTATCAATATAGAACAATATTGACCCAATTGTAACCCGGTGGAGACGTTCTGTGTGCTAACGTATTATAAACCCGATGGATTCTGTTGTTCGTGGCCGGAAACGTAACTCGGAAATTCTGGATTAATAACGGCGAAACGTGTCGCGACGAGGTAACTGTGCAAGATATTCGGAGTTTCTTCTTCCGTTTTCGTGACCGCGGCATCACTTTTCTTCTATTTTTAATTTTCAACAATTCTAAGAAGAGATAAATTTTTCAAAATACTTGTTCCAGGTGCTTAAATAAACAACTGGCTTCAATAAAAATGGTATAATGATAAATTAATGAAAATAATTTAGGGTTAACATTTGTTGTTCGTGTAAATGAAATATTTTTTTCAGTTTTTTTTTTTTTTTAGATAAATGATAAAGAATTTTATCAGAAAGAATAAGTGGAAAAATTGATTTTATATCAGAGTAAATGAACGAGCATAATGGGATTAGTGATATTTTGCAAATATACATTATGCAAATGTATAACAACATTAATATAATATAAATCCATGTGGAATCTACAAGAAATATTCTTATATTGCAAAAAATGCTGATTCTGACAATTTGACAGAAATAGTCTAGAAATATTCTGTTGTATATGTTGGAAAGCTCTTTCTTTCATAAACCATAAAATTGCAATCGTAGAAATTATTTTTGTGAAAAATATCATGTATACATTATGAACATTCATCAGAATATTCTTAGAAAAAAATATACAAACAATATTCCCTTGTGAAAATAACAGCCCTCAAAATAATGAAATATCATATGAAGTTTGCAACTTTCCATTAATTTCGGGAAATTTTTTTATTAATAATCGCGATATTTTTTCCTTCTTTTAACCATCTATTCACAACAATTAATATAAAATTTATATTTATGGCACGGATAAAGAATATGAAAAAAGAATAATGAATTTGAATGAATATAAATGAGTGAATTTAATGAGAGAAAATTAGCAATATTACGTAAAGTTATTAAGATTAAAATTCTCATTTAATAAATGAAATGAAATGATTGATATTAATACATGGTGTGCTGATGATTATTGTCTTTTAATTTTCTGCTTAAGCAATCACTTAATTGTCGCATTTGAATTTATAATTAGTAAAAACAAAAATATTTATTTAATCGACATAAATTTTTCTATAAGCAATTTTCTAATGGCAAAATTTAACATGAAAATGTGAAAATGCAATAGTAATTAAGCCACTGTAATAAGCTTGTTGTACTTAATTATATAATTAATTTATAGCATTTGAAAATATAAATATGAAATTTACGTAATTTCTCTGAATACTTTAAATTTATATTATTTATTTGCTTATTTGATGTTATAAAGTCGATCATCATTTTACTTATTGCTTATCACGAATTAAATAAATAAAATTTTTAGTTCTACTGGTTAAAATTAAGAATTGTAATTCAATTAAAAAACAATAATATATTTATTATATATCAATATATAAAATAATAATTTCACATTATGGTATTGAATTGTAATTTTAATAATTTTACTTATAATTATTTCGTCTTTTTTTATTTCCCTTTATTTATTCTTTATTCCTGTTTCATATTCTTTATTCGTATCAAAAATACAAATTTTCCAGCCCACTACATCTCCAATGTCCTGTTTGAATAAAATTTAATTTGTCTCTTGTCAGAAGAGTCCTGATAAAAAACAGAAGGAAGAATGAAAATTCATCTTGATATAATTGAGAAAATTTTTCTCAAAGGAGAAACAAATTAAATATTCAATTTGTATACATTCTATTTATGAATGTAAACCTAAAGTCACAATAATAATAATAAATAATACTTGAATATTATAATATTCTTTTTTAGTATTAATTTTTAACTGGTAAAGCTAACTTAATTATAAAAGTGAATATCTTCTTGAAATAAGTTCAATATCAAGAGTGTAATAAATATTTTGATTTCTTTAAAATCCAAACATTATGCTACAAAAATAATTCAGGAAACAATATTATATCTATTCATATTTTTTTTCAACATACTTGTTATATGTTGAACTCGTTATATATATATCATATTAATCAAGTCAATATAAAAGTAATAGATAACATTAATATGAATCTAGTTATTATTTTTAATTAAAATAAATGAAGTAAAAGCTTACATTAGAATAATTAATCTTTTTATATTTTTATTAAACATCAATAAAATAAATTGATGTGAAAAACAATTTGAGAAAAAATATCTTTATTATTTTTAGAATCACTTTGTTTACAAAAAAAATTACACGGTAAAAAGGGAGCCATGAGACGAAAATAATCTTTTTTTGTAAGTGGAGGATTTTCGAAAATACCAAGGTCTCTTTGTTTATTTCAAATATGATGTTTCTCTGTTATTAATAAAATAACAGGAGTCTAGCCCACTCAATGATTTCCAATATTCAGTCAAAGTTATTTGGCAATAAATAAAAAAATAAATCTAATAATATCATAGTAATAAATGTGCGAAGAAATACATCTCTATCGATATAGAGAATTTTTCGTTTTTTAAATTCAAAATTTATCAATGAAAATGATGGAATAATTCGGTGAATAATAAAATTATTGCATAAACGTCTGCTATTTAACTAAGAATATAAAAAAGTGAACTTTGAAATCTCAAAACAAAAACTCTCTATACTAAAAAAAAAAAAAAAATTACTCCTGTACCTTCTATTTACATACAACTTTTGTAAATAAATTTTTTTTTATAAAAATCTAAATATAAAATAATATTGAACATGATCAATGACCTACTTCGTGAAAAGAGAGAGAAACAATAATTTTATACGCATTTTTTATATATAATACATAATAATCATACTTATTATTTTATTTAAATATTCGAAAATTCTTTAAAAAAAAAAGTGTTGTTCACTATGATAAAACAAACATCTCTTTTTATTATTAGAAAAATTATTACATAAAAATCTGTCGATATTTCAACAATTGGCGTTGAATAATTCATCGATAAGATAAATTTTAATCGAATAACTCATCGTTACAGGTCACGCTCTCCATTTCCATTCTCATCAGTCTTCACGTGTTTTTCCTGCTGGTCGTCGAGATCATTCCACCTACGTCGCTGGTCGTGCCGCTGCTTGGAAAGTACCTGATATTCGCCATGATACTCGTTTCGATAAGGTAAGTGTTCCAGACATATTGGAAGCAACTCAAATAGCCATCTGTTATCGAAGATACTTCTCTGCTATTCAACGTATACGTATGCATAAAAAATCCAAAGATGTTTTTGCAAAGAAGCGCAACGAGGATTTTTAAGAAACATCGAGTTCGACGTTTGCTCGTTATTTTAAATTAAAAAGTGTGTTTTTATAACGAGAAACTTGCTTCGAGAAAATCTTTTTTTGTTAGTCATCATATAAAATTCTAATAATTTTCTACGATATTTATAATTTTTTTTTCCATGCGTATAATTTAATCTTTAAATAATTTGTAAACTTTATACTTATATTAATATTGGGACGAGAAGAAAGCGTATACAAATTTTAACATGGAATATTATATAATGTCAGTAGTATGATGTACCATATTTTATTCAGTCTAAAAGGATATATAATATTAATATTCGTTATCCTTTAATATTAATATTTATAATGATTTGCAAATATTTAAAATCTTCGATTTATTTCATCCTTTTTCCTAATCTCGTGGTAACTGTCGCTCATTTTCTTCTCCCTCAGAAGCAAACTTCTATACGCGTATGTACATATTTCGTGTACAAACATTCTAGAATTATCAAAGGGAAGAAACAAGTAATATACATTGCTAGTCGATTTCTGTTTGAATTTATCGTAAACAGATACACGCATGATTTGATCAACATCGAGCATAGTGAACTAATAAAAATGTTTATTTCTAACTTATAATTGCTATTTACCTTAAAATCATCGATTTTATATATCGAGATTGTCGAATATGAAATAATGAATTTTCCTAGAATTGGATATTGCTTTGTCTGTTTTATTTCAACTTAATGAAATTTCACGTTTATTTTAAGATATTGAATAAATCTAAAGAAGAGATTAATGAGCACGAAATTATTATATTTATATTTGAAATTTTCTTGCACAGTCATGTTTGAATTTTGCAACTCATTATTCGATATGAAGTCCGCCACAGAAGATGTCGTAGAAGGGGTCAAGAGAGCTCAAAGTGCTTACGAGAGTCTGCTTTAATATTTAAGATGAAGATCAAACTTGGAATTACCAAGAGTAAAGATAATAAGCTCTTTGACTTGAATTGACATTATCGAGAAAAAGTTTGACCGATTAAATTCAAATTTATGAACGCAAAAAGGACTGTCACTGTTAAAAATTTCTCAGTTTTCCAAGAATATTTCTTAACGATCGTTTAGATTAAACAAAATTTTTCATCTCTCACGAAATTTATTTGCGAAGAATAATTTATTTCTATCATACAATTTCTCTTCTATCCACGTATCGCTTTTAAAGTGATGATGAAAACAATTAAATTTCAGTTTTTTTTAAAAATAATTCTGTAAAGTAGAAAAAAATTTGTTTAATTAAATTACAATAAATATTCAGAATTTCACACTCCAATTTTAATGAAAAGATTTGGTTTCATCTTCTTTTAAAAAGATCAACGAAAATCAAAATTTTTGAGTTAATTGATAATACAAATTTCTCTACAATGTATTATTCAAAAAATTTTCTTTAATTTTAACCAACTACTATATTTTACGCATCTCTAGGTATATTTTTCCCGCGTTTTAATTTTCGCGTTTCTCCGTGTTTTACAACCGCAATTACATTTCTTCGTCGCGATATATAAATTACAACACGTTGTTAAAATAAAGACTACTAAATTTGCATTGCACGGGAACAAGTATGCAAATCGTAAAAATTATTCGTCCGTAAGAAAGGAACAATACACACAGGTGAAGTTTGCGTTTCGTAACAACGATAGTATGTCATTTGCAGGGGAGGGTTTATGACCGAGCTCTTCCCCTTCGATTTTCCGCCATTCGTCATTCTACGACGTTTCTCCTGCATAGATCCTTATTATTGAAATTTTTCGTCGTACGCCAGATGTGGGGATTCCATCACGCGTAATTAAGCTCAGACGTGGTTCTAAGAACAAAATTTCATGGGACGAAATCAAATTAAACGTGATGCATCGAGCTAATGAAGAATTTCAAGATCTGAACTCTGAATATATTATACGCTTCTTTGAAATTATTTATATTTGCGTATGAATTGAATTGAATCGATGAGTTAGTTTTACATTTTTAATTTTTAAAATTCTAAATTTCGAAAGATTGAAATATCTTTTAATCCTTTTCATTTAAATTACTTTTGTATTCTTTCGAGTCAGTGATATTAATGGGAAAAAGTATGACATTTTGTGCATATTATATAGGTGAATACGATTAAAATTGTTTATGTAAATTAATAATATTGTATAAACATAAACTTTATTTCAAGTTATATTATATATATCGGTTTTTATATCGACAAAAATGTATCAAATTTTTATACAGAAGAAAAAATTAATGAAATTTAATGAAATTTCTTTATAATTAGTATCTTTAAGACGAACAGATTGGAAAAATAAAATTAACAAAAAGAAGGATAAAATCAAATTTTGCTTTGATTACAAAAATTATAAATAAATGTGTCATATATTTTATATTGAAAAAAGCACATGCATCAATTTTCTGCATAAATATATTTATATGCATTAAAAAAAATAGAAATAATCTCTAAAATATCATCCAATATCATCTCCAGCACACGATGCCTCATTTAGTTTTCCCTCGAAAAATTTAAATTATTATTATCTTATTCCAAGATCTTTGGCTCAATTACACGAAATAATTACGTATTTCGATGCAATTCCAATTTAATGGCACGACGTTCTCACGTTGAATAATTAAACCGCAAAACTTTTCACAGCAAATACGCCAGATTTTACAGTGATCTTTCTACTTTCCATGCGCGCGCTGCTCCTGGCGAAACGATTCGATCCTGATTTCGACCGTATTTAACAAGATACCAAACGTGGCGCGTTTCGAGCGTGGAACTTAAATTTCGTCATTTTCGAAGGAAACATGTGTAACAAGAAACGATTATATAATGAAAATTTATTTAAAGTTTTACGATTTTATCAATTTGAACGATAATAATAGTAATTTTATAAAGTGTTTTCTCCAAAATTAACATATTTTTAAATTAAACAATGAATTACTAGAACGAGACTTAAAATTTTCTATTTCTAATTTTTTTTAATGGAATAGCATTCTTTATTCATTATGTCACATCTCTTTTCTCCGTATATTTTTAAAATTGATATATCGTTCCATTTAAAAAAAAAAAAAGAAATATAAGATAGATCAAATTTGTCAAAAATTTGTTATATTCTGTCACATTTTTAATTCAAAGAAACAGTATATCAAAACAGTTGTGTTGTATACACTTCACTCACTGTGATTAAGTATCTGGCAATAGAGATATGTTTAAAGGAAGAAAATTCTTGCAATGTTCAGAATAATTCCATTTTGTTTATTATTTCCTTTCCACAGCATTCACATACATGATATTTGATAAAAATTATACGTAATAATATATATATATTTAAAAAAGAATTCTTCGTGCAATATTCGAAATAATATTTCTTTCTTTTTCCACTTCTTCCGTAACATAAATTTTCCACGACCAAAAATACTGATTAAAATGATGAAATCGAAAAGGGATTTTTAATTTTCGCATATCGAGTAAAAGGTTTGATGTAAAGAAATGTAAACATATATTTGTGGCGAAAAAAATGGCCCGATTTCATTCGAAATCATCGAGGTTTCATTTCCTTATCGAAGTTCTCGAAAGTCTTCCTGATTATCAAAGTGCGTCATCGTGATATTCAACCGCCAAACAAAAGGTTTTTGTTTTCGGATCTGGGTTATCACACACACAAATGGACCATACGAGCCTTATTCTGAACAGGTAGGCAGGCTAGTTCGAGTGGAACGTTTATAATGTGCAATGCCGATATTAATTCAACGTGAATATGTCGATGATCGAGTTCTAAAGGTCGCATATGTACTATTTTCCATTCCAGAAATATTGGGTTGTTCGAAAAATTCTTCTCATTTCCTAGGCTGTATTGATCTTCTCCATCTTTCTGGAATTTTTATATCTATTTATTTCTCGTTTCATCATTTTTAGAGAATTATTCTCTAAAAATTCGAAATCGTTTTAACAAAAATAATATACATCTTGAAAATGTTTTTTGTTTAATATTTTTACTTGATTTATTTTCCAAAAAAAAAAAATAAGAGTTTATTACTCCAATTAATTTGTTGTTAATTGTTAAATAGGCATCGTATTCGTATGAGAATAATTAGAAATTGAAATATTAAAAAACAATTTTTATTAAAAATTACGTATTCTTCGAAAAGGTGATAACAAATTGATAAACTTTGTTCACTTTTCTTAATCTCACCTCCACAATTTTTATCAAAAACGATAAAGAAACAAAGGATACGATACAAATACATATATTCTTCTTAATTTTCTTCTGCATTTCTGTTTCAATCAAATCGCACAAATTGAGAATATATATTATATGTATAGTAACAAATAATTACGAATAATTTAACGTTATTTTATATATAGCAATTCACGTTCAATTTTCTTACTTTTGAAACCTATAAATTCAAGCGTAGATAAATACATCCGATCCTTCCTTTAGAGCAAACGCGTCTCATCCAGCCAGAAACAAGTTTTAGGATTAGTTTCATGCTAGTTCCGCCTAAAGGTGATTACAGGCCGTAATTTACAGAGCCATGATTTGAACATGGGCCACAATTGCTCCGTGGAATTTACCGTTACGTACTATTATCACGGTGTAATTCGATAAATTAGAAAAAATGTTCTCTCATATTTGTTATCAAATTATGCGATAATTAATTAACTCTCTGGCATTATTTCGTGTGAAGCAAATTAATTAATTAATTATTATTTATTAAATTATAATAGTTAAGCGTTTGATGTCTTCTTGCTTGCTCGATAAATTATATTTTTTTAATAATCGAGAGTCAATCAAATATAGTCAAATATAGTAATTAATAGTTACAACATTATAATAATGAACAAATTCGAAATCAG